TTATCACTGAGTCACCGGGAGAGCCCACTTTTCATATACGTAAAGCATAACCTCATTGTTGTCTATGCATTTGCTGCCCAAATAATACTGTAAATTCTTGAGGGTGGGAGTAGGTTCTCAGTCTTCTTTTCTCTGTTCTATGATAGTGGAGCATAAAGCTTTTGTTAAGAACCGTGAAGATTTTAGATATCCACTAAAAATTCTTAGACTTGGCAGTTCTTTCAGAAATAAAATTCTTTATTCTGAAAACAATCAATGCTTATTCTGGATTGCTAATGATAGAAACCAGAGAAACACTGGTCTGGAAGAAGCACAAGCTGGAATCAAGATTGCCGGGAGAAATATCAATAACCTAAGATATGCAGATGACACCACCCTTATGGCAGAAAGTGAAGAGGAACTAAAAAGCCTCTTGATGAAAGTGAAAGAGGAAAGTGAAAAAGTTGGCTTAAAGCTTAACATTCAGAAAACTAAGATCATGGCATCTGGTCCCATCACCTCATGGGAAATAGATGGGGAGACAGTGGAAACAGTGTCAGACTTTATTTTTTGGGCTCCAAAATCACTGCAGATGGTGACTGCAGCCATGAAATTAAAAGACACTTACTCCTTGGAAGGAAAGTTATGACCAACCTAGATAGCATATTAAAAAGCAGAGACATTACTTTGCCAACAAAGGTCTGTCTGGTCAAGGCTATGGTTTTTCCAGTGGTCATGTATGGATGTGAGAGTTGGACTATGAAGAAAGCTGAGTGCCAAAAAATTGATGCTTTTGAACTGTGGTGTTGGAGAAGACTCTTGAGAGTCCCTTGGACTGCAAGGAGATCCAACCAGTCCATCCTGAAGGAGATAGGTCCTAGGTGTTCATTGGAAGGACTGATCAGCATCAGCTGAAGCTGAAACTCCAATACTTTGGCCACCTGATGTGAAGAGTTGACTCACTGGAAAAGACCCTAATGCTGGGAGGGATTGGGGGCAGGAGGTGAAGGGGACGACAGAGGATGAGATGGTTGAATGGCATCACTGACTCGATGGGCATGAGTCTGAGTGAACTCCAGGAGTTGGTGATGGACAGGGAGGCCTGGCATGTTGCGATTCATGGGGTCGCAAAGAGTCGGACACGACTGAGCGACTGAACTAATGATAGAAACATGTTTCAAATAATCCTAGAGAAGATAGGTTTGTGATCAGCACTAAAAAGAAGCCTTTTTAAATTCTAAAACCAGAAAGACAACAAAGTATTCACCTGGGCTTCATTCTCTCTAGAAGTAGCATATAACAAAAATTCATAGCTTAAGAGTTTAATCACAAAAACCTCTTAAACCATGGACTGATGTTGCATCTTTTAATGCCTATAACTGAAATTTACCTCTTGTGTCCAGGAAACACATATTCTGTTGAAGAGGGAAAATACGGGCTTTTATACTTACTAGATTTTTACAGGAATACCAAGAGTATTACATGTAAACTGTCACATTACTTCATAGAAAAAGTAAACAAATTCCTGAAAATACAAACATCCCTAGAACAAACTTATTCATCTATTTTTGAGCAGGATACATGACCTTTTCATCAAAACCACTAGGTATAAACAATGGACATGTGGACACAGGGTGGGAAGGGGAGGGTGGGACAAACTGGGAGAGTGGCAATGCCATATACACACTGCCACAGACAGACACGCGTCACCACGGGTAGAACAGGTAACTGGTGGGGAGCGGCTCTGCAGTACAGGGAGCTCAGCTCTTCGAAGGCTTAGAGGGAGGCGATGAGGAGGCGGGAGAGAGACTCAAGAGGGAGGGGATATATGCATGCAAATGGCTGATTCACTTCCTTGTATAGCAGTAACTAACATAACATTGTAAAGCAATTATATTCCAATAAAAAAAACCACTACATAAATATTGACATAAGGAAAACAAACTCCTTAGATTTCCTAATCTGAATTTTTATTAATTCCATGTTAATTTGCTACTATAATATATATGATTCTTTTTAAATGAGGTGGCTAATACTAACAATATTTTAAATAAAACAAAAAAATCCTCCTTTCTTCCTCATGTGTTTCTTTTTATATGGTAGTTCTTTCTTATCAAGATTTACAATAATTTGTCAAAAAGACTATTGAAAAGATCTGAAAGGATCTGAAAGTTACTTTGGGCTTTGAGAATAAAAACTGATTTCATTACTTATCTGCCTGTGTCCTGTCACAACCATCCAACTAGTCACAACCTCTCCAAAACTAGTCATGCTGTGGTCAGCTTCAATTAGGAGCATTTCTCCTTCTGGTCCATTGAACTCAGAGAAGGCGTGGGAGACGAGAACGGGCGTTCCGTCCAACTCACGTGTAGGAGGAGCAGCTTAGGCAATGGCTGAGAAACTGCATAACGACAGAATGTGGGAAAGAAGGCAAAGCCCGTGTCTGATAACTGCAGAGGAGCACAAACCCAAAGTGCTCATTTATTCTCTGCTTTGCGGTGAAAACAAATAACGAAAACAGGCTTTACGTGAATGAAGTAAAAATCCTGCCAAAGTATATGTATTAATACACAGAGAGCCCAGAGATGAATGCCAGTGTCCCTAGGAGTCTAGAATTACACATCAGCAGGTGGAAACTCATATTGTGACGACATGGGTTTAACAAAGAAAGCTTTAAAAAAATCTCCTTATCCAAATATTTGTCAGTAGAGACTCTAAATTCAGTTGTCACCAATCCCTGCTTTAATACCTGGCTTTTCAATGCAAAAATTAAAAGCCATACAAATTGCCCTCGTGTGTGTGTGTGTGTGTGTGTTAGTCACACAGTTGTGTCCAACTCTCCATGACCCCAGGGACTGGGGCTCACCAGGCTCCTCTGTCCATGGAATTCTCCAGGCAAGAATACTAGAATGGGTCGCCATTTCCTTCTCCAGGGCAAATTGCCCTTAACTAAACCAAAATGGTTCTAAATTCAAAATCAAGAACAAAAAAGCATAACAGGTTTTTTTTTTTGTTTTTTGTTTTTTTTTGGTCTTTGGTCAGCAGAATAAGACTGTAGCAGAAAACCTCGGGCTTTTTTTCACTCACTACCTTAATTACCAATCCAAAGAGCCCTACAATGACACTTGCTGCTGGCTGAATAATAGTCCTTCAAAGATGTCCCTGTCCTAATCCGTGGAACTTCTGAATGTGTTACCTGCTTTTGCAGACATGATTAGGTCAAGGATCTTAAACTTCATTTATTAAAAAAAGGACCTTTTTTTTAACTTCATTTATTCATTAAGAACTTTATTTATATATCATTTATTTGGCTGTGCTGGCTCTTGGTTGTGGCACTTGGGATCTTCCATCTTCGTTGCACCCTGTGGGATCTAGCTTCCTAACCAGGGGTGGATCCTGGGCCCCTGCACTGGAGTGTGAAGTCTCAGCCACTGGACCACCAGGGAAGTCACTAGGTTAAGGATCTTGGGCAGGAGAGACCACCCTGGAGGGCCCAATATAATCACAAGGGTCTTTTCAAGAGGGAAAAAGGGGGAATAGACTAGGAGTGAGAGATGTGACAATGGAAACAGGAGGCGGAAGAGTGATGTGAGAAAAGGGCTGGAGCCAAGGAACACAGAAGGACTCCAGAAGATGACGAAGGGAAGGACACGAATTCTCCAAAAGCCTCTAGATGGAGCCAGTCCTACCCCACCTTGATTTCAGCCCCGCACGACTCATTCCAAATTTTGGACCTCCAGAGCTGTAAGATAACACACTCATAGTGTTTCAAGCCAAAAAGTGTGCAGTCACTTGCTACATCAGAATAGATAATTAACACAATATTTTATTATACTTTTAAGGATTGTGAAGCTTAGTAAGTATTATTACCATTAATTCAATTGAAGCTATAATAATGACAAAAGAGGGTTTGAAATTGTGAGGCCTTTCCCCCTGCCCAGGCTTGTGAGAACTGTCAGCATCTAGAGAGGATTACAGAACAAAAAACAGACATAAGGGCAAAGGAAAAACTTAATTTCATGTAAGTAAAAGAAAGTATCTAATTCCTGTCTGCTGTATATTGAGCAAATACAGGACTCAAAGAGCTCACAGTTGAAAAGTTCTAATCAGCCCAACTCAGATAAACATAAGGCGAGGTGAATTCCAAGGATGTGAAAGCAGAGTCTAGAAAGTGGGCGGTTATGTACACGAAAGAGACGGTCAGAAGAATCACCAACCTACAGACAGGTACTCCGACCTCTCATGTGTAATATAAACTTGAATTCTGAATTACCATCTGGTCAAGGAGGGAAATCTTTAGAACTGCTTCTTACTTAGGTTTTTCGAGACAGTTATACTCTAGCTACACTTCTGTTTTCTATATGAGACTCCCTTCCTTTTTTATCTGGGAGATGAGGGACATAAAATGTAATACCAAAAACTGTCAGAAAACAAAAAAGGCTTATTTTCATATCTACAGTTTCCATATAGATTGCAGTCACTTTCTTCTATCAATAGGTGGTGAGCTTGCATTGGTTAGGCAAATGCTGGCAGTTTAGGAAAACTGAAATATGAGGAGACTGAGGCAGTGAAAAGTGCTTTTTCAGGCACTGTCAGATGAGCAGATGAATGAAATTTGAGGATGAAAAGAGATGGACTGCCTTTAAACCACAATAAGATCTATTCCTCTTAAAATCACAGTCTTAAGAATAAGCATGCTCTGTATCAGCAATGACACAAATCAACCTTCTCAAGTGAGGTGGGCATACAATTTTATGGGGTCTTTTTACTACTTTATTCTATGTTGTATTCCTTATTTAAAAATCACTTTTTTTTTTCTCCCCAACCGAGTTGCATCAGAAACTATGTGAAAAATTTACATAAATGTATTTTGAAAGTTTATTAATTTTCAAGCCACACACACAAAATCCTTTTCACAATACTTCTTTCTGAATAGATAGAAACAAGACAATCCCTTGCTTTAATAACCCTGAAGGAAAAGCTCCTTTATTCCTATTGCACATCCTCAGCACACTTCTCACCTGCTATCTTGATATTCAGGTTGGCGTCCAGAAGCAAATTTTCAGCTTTTAAATCACGATGAACAATGTTCCGACAGTGACAAAAATACACGGCTGCAACAATCTGTTTGAACTTCCGACGGGCCTCCTTTTCTGCCATCCTGCCATGGGCCACCAGGTGGTCTGTGCCAAAGAAGAATACCATCAGTTCTCATTTGGGGACTGGTATAATTTCAAAAGGTAGAAGAAGGAGGGTTGCACGTGGGCCTGGCACAAGAGTGAGTCAAAGAAGTGAAACAAACAAATGGAAAACAATGCACTTACAGTCTTGATTTGTAGCTATAAAATTCATCAGTAATCAGCACCCAAACTCCATTAAGTGTAAATCCCGTTACATATGTATGTGTATAAGAGTACACTCACCCTACCAAAAGAAAGGGAGAGTTGTGAGGGGCACAGGTAACGGTTTTCTTCAAGGATTGTAATACTCAACACCTTCCTGTTCATAGCTCCATTGCAAAAGTTTACACATACACAGCAAACATGCACATGAGATAAGTATCAGTATCAGTAATATTTCCTGTGCTAAAGGGTGAGTCAAAAAGCAAAGTCACAGTAATCAATCATCTTAGGAGAAAACAGACAGAAATTAGTCATTACTAAGGGGGGAAATCCTGCTTTATATAGGACTCTGTCCAGGCTGATATTTCTTTTGCTCTCAGGTTTTACAATTTGACATAAAAATGTATGTATTTGGTGACTATTCTCTGGAATGCACAGCAATATGCCTGCATCTTTACAAGTGCATTTACTGTGCTTACCAAATATTTTAAAACTGTTATGAAGCTTTACTGATAACATCAATAGAAAACCAAATGAAGTTTCTACCACTTTAAATGAAATAATCTCATTGGCTATGTTGCTAACTAAGGTACAAAAAAAGAATTTACATGTGATAAACTTTGTATATCTCTAAATCAGGCTATCTACTATGTTTAAAAAGGAATTGGTTGATTCATAAGTTCTATAACTTTTTTCTAATCAGGGCAGTAGGTTTATATTAAACCAATGACATGCATATCCTAACCCAGTTCTTCATCTAACAACAAATACGGGTCATGACAGCTGATGGGATTAGAAACGTTAGTGACACCATTTGCTTTGTCTGAAATCTGTAATAGCCTCTCAGCACTATCCTTAAATCAACTGATCCAGCTCGGGAAAAGATGCATTTGCCATCATAAGCATCCTGAGATGGTGGGAAAGTGAAAAATTAGACAATATAAGTGACTATATTATTGTTTGTTTTCTAATAGTGTTTCACTAACACTACCCAATTGTTTTGGCACCATCTCAAACCCCCATGGGACCAGTCAGATATATCTTTCTTTCACCACAGAGAAGAACTCTGAAATAAAATATATGCTCTAGTAAAGACTAACAAGATTAAGAGCTTAGGACAAGAAATGGGGGAAGAGGGTGTAAAGAAGAGGGGAGAAAATGATAGTTCATCTACACAGCAGATTTTCTGTGTAGAACAATTCAAACAACCCTCTGACCACAAAGAACATAAAACTTTGGAGACCAAATATAACAGTAATTTTAAGAGCAATGTTATAAGTAGATTATTTAAATTATTAAGAAAGATTCCTCAAAGAAGTTGTTACAATTGTTAAGAGTTATCAATGACCCACACACAAAATCTTTGAAGCATTTCCCTCAAAAACAATCATTGTTATGGCCAAGATTACCAATTTGGTAGAAATAAAGAGAAAGTAAGAAGACTTTAGCTTAGATATTGAAAAGACTAGGATACAGCTTTCCACCAGAGTTTGGAAGTGGTGATAAATGAGCTCACACACTGGTATGTTTAGGCTTCTGGTATGATCTGTCAAATGAACTTCAAACAACACAAAAGCCTCAGAGAGGGACAAGGAGTGAACATAAGCTGCTGACGAACTGGACAGCCATCAGAAGTGGATACCATGCACCACCGCAAGAGGCCATTCTCTAACAGTACCTGCTCCTTTGACCCACTACTGCTCTTAATCCAAGGCCTAATTATTCTAATAATGTGTTTTAGCTGCTAAACTCTGTCTAATTAAAGAGCTTTGAAGAGACAGCTATTCTTGAGAAACACAAAAATAAGCCCTTATGAAGTTTTACCATCAGAAGCTCATTTGGCCAAGCCACCCATTAATTAAAATGCCCAGGAGACATTCATCTGGCAGTAAATACTAATTACCAGAACACATCAAAGAGCTTCTTAAACACAACAGAATGATTAATTTAGCAATTTCCAAAATAAGTGATTTTCTTTTATTAAAAAAAACTCTTTATATTTTCGAAGTACTTTGTTTTCCTAAAATGATTGGAAAGTTCTCAAAAATGTTACACAGGCCAGGAGCTGGTGGAATGCAGACTAGTTCTGTTTTATCTCTAGAATGACACTCTGGTTGTCCTTGGATGAATCATTTATACTGCCAATATCTCTATCTCTTGATCTGCTAAACAGAAATAAATTCTGTTACATGCTATGGCCAAAGAAAGAACAGCATATTTGGGAATACACTCACACTTTGACTAAGAGTTATCATATATGACAAAATTTTAACTTCCAAAGACATTTTTTTTAAAAGCTATTTTAAAACAAAGTTCCACTCAATACCACATAAATGCTATTTCAACATTTGGTTAACAAATCGTAAGGATCTTTGCTCAGGATATTGTAGTGCTCAAAATTGATTTTTATTATTATACACCAACTGTCAATGTTACATGGTTCTGGTTACAAGGTATTTGTGACAGCACACTGGGTAAAACAGCTTAAATTATATAGCACTTTCACTAAACAAGGCTTCCCTGGCGGCTCAGATGGTAAAGAATCTGTCTGCAATGGAGGAGACCTGGTTCGATCCTTGGGTTGGGAAGATTCCCTGGAGAAGGAATTGGCAACCCACTCCAGTATTCTTGCCTGGAGAATTCCATGGGCAGAGGAGCCTGGCAGGCTACAGCTCATGGGGTGGCAAAGAGCTGGACACGACTAAGCGACTAACACTTCCACTTTCTTTCCCTAAAGATATCTACAGTATCCCTAGAACTATGAATATAAAGAAGACATACACAATTCACTTTTTAAAAAATGTGTTAGCTGTAAACATCAGATGTTTTTTCTGAGACATTGTGTTTGACGTTCAAGTTTTCTTTGGGAGTTTTCTTCCCCACATCCAGGATCTCCATCCTGGCTCAATGTCATTCAGACTGCAGCCTCTGCTTTTATTTTTGCCCATCTTATTACCACCACTCCCCTCCACCTACCAACCCACAGCTCTTGTGAGTTTGCTTGCAGTGTAAACCTTAGGGTCTAGTGGGTGTGCCAGGAAGCCAACAGCCTGCAGTGGTTTGCAGTCCCTGCTGAAATTGCCTTTCAGCTGCCTGCTGACAAATGGCTGCTTTATGTTCATGAATGCTCCATAGGCAAGGAGCAAAAATTCTTCCAGTTCAAATATGATATTTAACTTTCAGCAAAGAAACCCAGAGCAGGAGGCCAACCTGGACTTAACACAAAGTCACAGCGCTGGAAAACATACTGGGGTAATTTCAGAAGGCAAATGAAACAAAACAGCTCCTGAACCACTTTAACATTCAAAGTAAAACACATTTTGAAACTTGTCAGGAGAAACCCAGTTGCAAGGAACTCTAAAGAGTTGTTCTGCTTCTTCTGGACAGCTAAGTGAGCTAGTTCTCTGAAATACTGGGCGAGATCCCACCCACATCACTAGTCCCAAGCAACCCACCCAGCTAGGACACTAGCTTCCTCTATTCCTAGACTCATGCCCCCACCCACTCACCCAAGTCTAGACAATATGCAACCCGTCACAGTAAACCCCTTTGCACCATCAATTAACTACTAATCTACTTAGTTCCCACTGTACCTGCAAATTTAAAGGCATTCTCTATCTTAACTTCAACCATTTCAACCCTGACAAAGATGAGGTGACTCTCAATTAGGAGAAAACAATTCTCCTGTTTTCTAGCTCTTATTACAAGGAATCTATGAAATAAAAACTATAAAAACAAACAACAAAAAAGTAAGGAGTCTAAGTTTTCTTTCTCATTTTCCAATCACTATGAATCACTTGGCACTGGATTTCTATAATCTTTTTTATCTGTTTTTCCTTACAAAGTGAAAAAAAAAAGCGACACTAAGGGATTTATATACCTCATGAAGAGTATATTATTAGAAGCAGAGGGAATGAATTCTGAAGTTTCAAAAGTATTCAAGCACCAGTATTTATAAAGTTTGCTTCAGAATTCACTGCTTGTAATTTTGTCCCAATCTGACTCAAGAAGAAATATCTTGTGGTACATTTAGATTCTAACCTTTCAAAGAGCAAAAAATACACACAAGGCAGTCTTAACGTCCCTAGACCAGCTCGCTGGAGTGTCAGAGGCATGCCACTAATGGGGTAGTGGTGGGGAGCCAACATTTCTTAAAATAAGTCACTTTTCCACTATACACAGACAGTGTCTCCATTTGCCTGCTAGGTCTACGACTCGTAACTGACCCAAACACTAGCTGAAAATGAACATACCCTGACAGCAGGTCAAGAAACAAGGCAGAGACTTTTTTCATTTTTCATGATGAAGAAATAACTCAGTCTAGAAAGGGGGAAAGGCGGCTTGTGTGCTAAGCTAGGTGGCTACCTGCAAGGATCTCTGCCCATTTCAGGCTAACCACAGCTAGCAGTTCATTGCTGTGCCACTCGGTTCTATCATTTCTTCTTTCTACACCCATGGAAACAACTTCCTGTTTATCAAACACATGCTTCTTTCCAAAAGAGCCAAGGCGAGGCCAAGATAACCCAGCTGCCTGGTAGCAAGTTAACAAGAGTGCACTCACTTAAATATCACACTGTCCGTAACCCTTGGACGCCCCGAGCTGCCAGGCACTAGAGGAAGAGGGCTTGTTATTTGTTTTTCCTTGACAAGAATCCAACTACCTCATAGCAGGCTTCTCTACTTGTTGCTTCTTTTTACCACCATCTCTTTCCTTCATCCTTCTAGAGGTCCAGGCCAAAAACCCTCTGTCGTCTTTCCTTCTTTCTCCCATACCTCGCATCCAGGCCATTAGCAGATTTTATAAACTCTGCTGCCAAGATACACCCAGAACTCAACTATCC